AAAAAAAAAAAAAAAAAAAAGAGACAAGTTCTTACTATGTTGGTCAGGCTGGTCTCAAACTCCTGGCCTCCAGTGATCCTCTCGCCTTGACCTCCCAAAGCTCTGGGATCACAGGCATGAGCCACTGCTCCCGGCCTCAGCAAGTCTTTATTTAGTCTGTTCCCAGGACAGATCCTCTCACTTTCTTCCATCTCTGGCCCCAGGTTTGACTATCCCAACTACCTCTTCACTAGGCTGCTGCTCCCACTTACCCATCCTCCACCGAACAGCCAGAGGGATCTCTTTGAAACACATGTTGGTCAGCCCTCCCCTCTGCATCAAACCCTGCAGTGGCTCCCCAGTACTCCTGGCATCCAGGCCAAACGTCTCTAGGGTGCCTACAGCATGCTGCCTGGTCTGGCCCTCACCCACCTCTTGAGGCATCTCCCACTCTCCTGCATTCTCCCTGTGCGCCAGCTACCTTGTTCTCTTGCTGCTTTTCTTGAGTAGGCCAACTTGGACCTGCCTCAGGGCCTTTGCACTTGCTTGCTCACTCTGCCTGTAGTGCTCTTCTTGTAGCTCTCTGCAGTTCTTTTCTTTCTTTCGTTTGGGGGACTGAGTCTCGTTCTGTCACCCAGGCTGGAGTGTAATGGCGTGCTCTCAGCTCATTGCAACCTCGGCCTCCCAAGATCAAGGAATTCTCCTGCCTCACACTCCTGGGTAGCTGGGATTACAGGTGCCCACCACCATGCCTGGCTAATTTTTGTATTTTTAGTAGAGACGGGGTTTCACTATGTTGGCCAGGCTGGTCTTGAACTCCCGACCTCAGGTGATCCACCTGCCTTGGGGTCCCAAAGTGCTGGGATGACAGGTGTGAGCCAGCTCACCACTCTCTGTGCTTCTGAGTCCATTGTGTTTTCTCACTCAAATGTCTCTTCTCAGAGGCTTCCCCCACCTCCCCTATTGTGGACACCCAGACCTTTCCTACAGCACGGAAGGACTTATTCCGCCAGCTGCTGAGAAAAATGACAGCTGTCAGCCTGCAGCTGTCAGCGCTCTCTGGGAACTGCCTCAGCTGCTGAGAGCCTCTTGCCAAAGGCCAGCGCACCTCTGAGGAGCGGCTCATGTACGGGTATTAAGGCCCAGCCCCTCACCCCAACTGGGGACAACTGTGAATGGCCATCCTGGATTCCAAGTGCCTATGGGGCTGACTGGGGCCTTCTTTATTTATTTTATTATTATTTTTTTGAGATGGAGTTTCACCCTTGTTGCCCAGGCTGGAGTGCAATAGCACAATCTTGGCTCACTGCAATCTCCATCTCCCGGGTTCAAGCGATTCTCTTATCTCAGGCTCTTGAGTAGCTGGGATTACAGGCACCCGCTGCCATGCCTAGCTATTTTTTTTTTTTTTTAGTAGAGACAGGGTTTCACCATGTTGGGCAGGCTGGTCTTGAACTCCTGACCTCAGGTGATCCACCCACCTTGGCCTCCCAAAGTGTTGGGATTACAGGCCTGAGCCCCTGTGCCCGACCTATTTTATTTTTCCTGAGACGGGGTCTTTCTCTGTTGCTCAGGCTGGAGCGCAGTGGCACAATCTAGGCGCACTGCAGTCTCAACCTTCCAGACTCCAGCAGTCCTCCCACCCGGACCTCCTGGTAGCTGGGACCGCAGGTGTGCGCCACTATGCCTGGCTAAGTTTTAATTTTTTTTTTTTTTCAGCTTCCTCAGGTTGAATAATTTTTAAATTTTTTTTGTACAAACGGAGTCTCCTTATGTTGCCCAGGCTGGCCTCGAACTCCTGGGCTCAAGCAATCCTCCTGCCTCGGCCTCCCAAAGTGCTGGGATTATAGGCATGAGCCACTGTGCCCTGCCCAAGGCCTTCTTTAAACTTTAGTCCAACTTCTCCTCCTGCCAAATCTTGCTTCCTTTACCTCCCTAGACCCAAGAGGTATGGATCTTGGGGTACTTCCCATAAATTGCCTGCCTGAAAACATCCAAGTCAGAATCTGCTTCCCGGGAAAGCCGACTGCAACACCCAACACCTACAATAATCCCTTCCCCTTCTCTTATTGGCGATCTCACCTGTGGATACACCATTGTTACTGAAAGGGCTCAGTTAGCATTTACCGTCTGTCTCCCCCACTGAAATGCAGGGACTGGCCTGTCTTGGTCACAGTGTATCCCCAGTATCTGGTGCAGGGTCTGCCTCAGGAAGGGACAGGCAAGGAATGTGAAGGGAGCATCCAGCCTTTTCCCACAGCTTGGATCCAAGTGAACTGAAAAGTGCTCTTAGAAGCTGGGAGTCAAGAGATTGGTTAGAAATAGACGGTAGGGGCCGGGCTCCGGGGCTCATGCCTATAATCCCAGCACTTTGGGAGGCCAAGGTGGGCGGATCACCAGGTCAGGAGATTGAGACCATCCTGACTAACATGGTGAAACCATGGGGGACAAAGCGAGACTTCATCGGAA